CTGCCAATTAGCCTGCGTGTCTACCTCGACAACATGTCAAAGTGTACGTCATCACTGCTGAGACACGTTCAACTTGGTCGTGTGCTGTGTTCTTTTGATTATATACACTCATCAGGATTTCGTAGAATAACCACAGTGCCTTTTATTATCATGAGTAATTTCTCTCACTTTGCAACGAAAGCTATTCACATTGGTAACGAACCTGATCAATGGAAATGCCATGCTGTTGTACCACCGATTTTTCTATCTACAACATTTGAAGAACAAGAACCGGCAGTCACTTACGTAAGATTTTTATCGACGATTTTTACATATCTACCTTTATAGTATATGTTAGTATGTAAACCTGATTTTATCTAGCGATGTTATGAATGGGGTAGTGCCTTGGGTAGTGCCCAGGTACAGGTTAGAGTTTACCTCTCATCAGGGCGAGGGGTTAGATGTGTTTAATAGATGCCTCCCGTTAGGGGGATTAGAGGGTAGGGTGATATACATCATGCATAAAAGTGCATCTGTGTGATGATATACATCATAGATTTTAGCAAGAGTATGTATTGACAGAAACGATAAGTGTGTGAATCCGATCAGATTCGGACCAAATTTTACTTGCTCGGATTGGATTTTGTAAAACATTTGCAATACATTTTCAATACGCATTTCTGCCTTGTCAATCTGCCATTATTTTGGTTTTTAGCATGGTGATAAATAATTGATTTAGATCAGATTCATAATTGATTTTTAGATCAGATCACAGTTACAATATTTCGGATCGGGTCTGATTGCGATTTTTAGCATCGGATCGGATTTACAGCCAAACTGGATGTTCTCTTGCGAGCAACATTGCAATATTGTCCCACAATATTGCAATCTTGATACACAGATTGCTCTGCATGAGCAATTTGCAAACATAACATCACGAACAAATTGGAAAATATTATCAAAAAGGAAGCCAGGCATCACTGATTAGGAGCATGGCAACAGCATTGTAATTATGGTTGGGCGAAAATCATAGGCGAAGCCAAGAAGTTCTGTGGTCCTGGTTAGATCTAACAAATGTATAAAATTCACACTCGAAATTTCCATCTACAAAACCCTTCTGCAATCAGGGGCGTAAATATGTCCCCCCCCCCCAGAGAAATGATCCAGTCGGTCTCAAACTAAGTGCAGTCAGTCTCAAAATTATGCGTTTGTTTACACGCAGTGCTTTGTAAAGCAAGCTAAATATTTTCGAAACTCGGAGACCGATCAGACTCAAACTTTTGAGTTGAAAATTTGCTCAAACGGAATCAAGCAGCTCTGAAATAATATGAAGAAATATCAGTCAAAACCCGCGCCAAGGGATGAAGTTTCCATTTACTTATATCTATATGTCACGATTACGTGTTTGCACTTTTATTACTCGCTGGGGCACCAGTGCCCCAGACGGGTATAGGTTTCAGCATTATTTAGTGGATATCCAATCGTCGTCGATAGCCACAAAATATAATATTAATTAGGGGTGCACCGGAACTCGGTTCCGGCCGGAACCCCGATTTTTTAGAGTTCCGGTTCCGGCCGGAACTAGTAAAAAAAGCATGGCCGGAACCGGAACTCTGTTGTTTTCAGAGAGATAGAATATCAAACGTTTTTGTGTCTAACAAAAGGACACAGTAGGAAGAAATTTGGACTACGCAAGGGAAATGTACACTACTAACACTTCATTATGACGTTTAACGCTTGTCAATCTTTTTATTCTAACATTTGCGAGCTCTCTCCTTTATGACTTGAGGTGTCTGCCTGTCTGGCAGCGGACAAAGTAACATATGACTATATATAGCTTAATAAATTAGTTCCGGTTCCGGCCGGAACTTAAAAAACTGGTTCCGGTGCATCCCTAATATTAATGAGCTGCCTGACTTGGTGCACGACTCTGAAAATCCGAAATTTGGATCGTTGAATTCCCATGCACGATCATAATATACTGAATCTGAATATAAACGAGCCAAAGACAATTTCAAGGTAAAAGGTTAACTACACAACGTAGTTTTAATAGATAACTACACAGCCAGAAATCTCAAAGGCCTGTCGCAAGCTGTTGATTTTACCGGCTTGCGGCAAGTTGTCAACAAGTCGCGACAGGTCTGTTGGTTTCGTCAGGTGGTAACAGGCTTGCGGGAACAGGTCTGTCGCAAGCTGTTGACAACAGAGCCGTAGCGACTTGTTGAAACAACCCGCTACAAACCTGTTACTAACAAGAGATAACAGGTCTGATAGAACAACTTGCAGCAAGTCTGTTGAAATCAACAGGTTTGTTCCAACTTGTTCCAACAGACCTGTCGCGAGTTGTTTTTGTCAAGTCTGCAGCAAGCTTGTTATCAGACCTGTGACAGACCTGTCCACAGCAAACAATTTTTGTCCTGTCACAACAAGTTTCAACAAGCCTGTTGTTGGGAAACAAATCGAAAATGTGAGTAAAGAATGTGGTAAAGAGAAAAATCGCACGAAATGGACACGTCCGGCTTCACTTTCTCATTCAAGGCAATATTAAATCACACTATCAATTTACAACAGAGGCTGTAGTTTATTTAATATATTGGAGATATATTTTCCTTTGGATCGTGTGAACAGGGCGTCAAAACGATTAAAGGAAAAAAGGTTTTGAAAACGCTGGAAAACGACGCCCGTGTGAACATAACCTAAGTATCTACTCTGTGATTAAATGCAAAAGCCGCTGTTTTTAACTTTTTATATTTTTAAAAAATAATTCCGATTTCCAAAATCCAATTTGCTGACGTGTGCTATCGTTATATTTCTTTAATCTGATTGGATAAAGGCGTGTGCACACGTCATCATTCCTCGATGCAATTGGACGCATACCTGTAGATTTTATTTTTGTGGAGGTAGCCAATCTTTAAATGGAGCTAGACTATGCCACATTCACATACCCAGAGCCCGCCTTATACACACGATCATCAACAGAGCATGACAAGGACGCGGTGTACGAGAATGGGTTTGCCTCAACAGTCAACTGCAGATCAAAATTTAGCCTCTGAACGAGAGCAAAATGCCAAGTGTGTCAATGTCCTGTTTATGCGCATATTCTGGATATTTCAGTCTTATTTAATACAGCGGAATATAGAAGTGCATTCTGAGAGTTCTTGCAGTTATTCCAGTTAGTCAGTAACTCCTGGTTTAGATAACAAGCTCCAAATGATTTTTGGAGTTAGCAACACAGCAAGTAACTTCAACCTTACATGTATGTACCTAGCGGCTATATGCTGACTCGCCTCGCTATACACATACTTTTTGGAGTTAGGCAGTAACTCGAGGCTTAAATACTTGTTTTTTCATGATTTTTGGAGTTATACGTAGCTCTAAATGATTATTGGAGTAAGCCAGTAACTCCAGCCTTAGATGCCTAGCTCCTAAATGATTTTTGCAGTTGTATACTTATATAGCTCCGAATAATTTTTGGAGTTAGCCAGTAACTCCAGAATTCATATTTCAACTCTTGATTTACACAAGTTACTCAAGTGTATATTTTGGTTTGGAGTTAGCCCTTTAGAGCTTAGAGGTAGCGTCGCTCCATAACTTCCTACTTTCTACAGGCATGATTGGACGAAATATTACAAACATATCAATCACGTAATCATGTTTAGTTGTTTTTGAATTTTGAGCCAAACAAAATTTCAACAACTGCCTCAAACAAAATCAAACAAGTTAAAAGCTGTTTTGATTTTTGAAGAAACTGTGGCAATGAGAATACAAGATCTAGAGCTTAAGAAATGAAAAATACATGAGCAACCGAGTGTTCACTGCAACGTTCTTCATTGTTCAAATGAATATGAAATTCGTTATATACAATGATTTCTTTCCAATTTCAAGTGAAATCAGCGAGCGAGGAAGACGCCTTATTGAAGCTTTGTGTTATTGTATGTACTATTTTGAAGAAAAATATGCAAGTACGGTCCTACTAAAGAATGCCCGGGAACGCCCGGGGAGATTCGTTGAATGCCCGGGAATGCCCGGGAGTTGGGAAAGAATGCCCGGGGAAAATTAAGTTCATAATTACGTTAGTTTATACTAATAAAATCACTTATTTTATGAAAGATGAAATAATTCTTGTAATATATGGCATTGCAAAGTACTGTTTACGGAATGTCCGGCTGTCACAAAAGAATGCCCGGGAGTCGAAAATGTATGCCCGGGGTAAAATTACGCAAGTAATAGACCTTTCCCCTTATAACCAAAATTTTGATCTAGGCAAGTTTAGACAAATATTTCATCACAGCTTGAAAGAGCATCACAAAATTAGTAATATTCCAAAGTTTCGTTGCGAAATGTTGTAAAATGAGTAAAATAGAGCCT